AGAGGGGGACTAGGAATGGAAATGGGAACAGGAGCAAGAGTAGAAATTGGGAATATTACATAGGAATATAATAGAAATGGGATAATATGAAAAGTATTGGGGAAAGAAATGGGAATGAAATGGAAGTAGAGATAAGAATAAAAATAGAAATGTATAGAGAAATATAGGAGTGGTACTATAAATATGACTTAGAAGAACAATACAAATGGTAATATTAATAAAAATGTGAATAAGAATAGACGCAGGAATAGGAATCGGATATAAACATGGATTTAGAAATGGGAATGACAATAGACATTTGGTGGATTAAATATTGTTTCTTTTGATCAACTTATGTTAGCAAAGATACTGGCAGTGTGTGTGTGTGTGTGGGGGGGGGGAAACAATATGCCATGTGGATCAATACTGTACTGTATATTCAGATTTCCTTTCATTCTACATGCTCAGCATTCACACGTTTATGAAATCTGAGGAAATTTATATACGGAATGACTTTAAATATATCAAATCTCACTTGCACTTCAAGCCAACTCTGCTGTGTATCAATTTTGGCACGAAGGCACCAAGGTTATCCACTGTTTTATGGATGTTGTGTTTTACAGTATATCAGCTGTGACTCCAGAGGAAATTAAACCGCTGTCATTGTCAGTGCTTTGCTCTTCATTGACCTGCAGAAGAAATGGATCCCCTAAAACTGACAGGTAGGACAACACTTAATCACTGAGGCACACAGGAACAATAGTACCTTTTTACAAAGCAGAGTAATGTGGTCTTTGTTTTCCAGATGACTTGTATTGGTATATTTTGATTTCTGTATCTGTATTAGCAGCTCAGCATTAGAGATGTGTGATTCATGCTATAAATGACCACTTATACTTAAATACTCCATTTATACAACCAGCTGTGATGTATTGTGCTGTATTGGAGATCCCTTCCACTACAGCACTAAGGGTAAATAAATACGCTTTAAAAGAGTAAATGAGCTTGAGCAAAGTGGCCCTTTGAGTCCCCATGTTTGTGGAGCAACCATAATGGATTCTTTAGAGCCGTGAACGGTTTATAGGCATGACAGCCATGTTTCGGCACGATGGGCTTATCCCTACGCAAGGCGCTAAGGATATTAGGGAATCAGCGTAAAGCAGCATGGAAATGATGACTGGAGCAAAGCCTCAGCTCGCTGGTATTATAAGCCCTCAATTCTCCAGCACTCCATCCTTGGGAAACAGGGGGAAGGAGCGGACTTGGCACAGCCCCACAATGTGATATCCCCCATTATTTCTTGCTCCATCTCTTGTTTTAGTCCTACAATTAAAAGGATGTCACCCAATCTGGGAATGGGGCAAATTGAGAGGAGGTCAGCGTCGCCTATTGTGGTGTTTCCCTTTCAAGACTGTGCTAGAATCCTTGTTGTCCATATGGAGATCTGTTGGAACAGCTGGATGAAAGCCAGCTCTCTAATGCCTGGCACTGAGCTACAGCCTCGTATGAAGCATTGATGGCACATGCCAAGCATGAAAACAGACGCCCATAAGGTTCCCTAAATGAATTCACGTCATAGCACTGTTTTCAGTGCAAATTCCCCATTTTCACAGCAACTGTCAATGTTTGGCTCTCATTAACCAAAGGTGTATCTTCTCATTAACAGAAAGTGACTATTCAGTTTGCAGTCATCACAATGTGAAGTTACTGCAGTGACTTGCAGGGTTTACCTAAGTCCACAGTGTTCTCACCAAAAAAACGAATATCTCCACCCAATCCACCCACGGTGGCTCGCCTGTCAGAGACGGGCCACGGCAGAAGGATGATTTATGTCCCACCTCTCACCCCCCACTGTAAATTAGAGACCATGGGTCGAAACTATTTTTCTCTGTGAGCAGGAGCACGCTTGTGGCTAAAAAACGGGGCAAACACTGTTTATCATCTGCCTGACGACAGCCCTCCTCGGGGCAAATTAACCACGCGGCCGTATCGACTGGCACGGGCCGGGAGTCAGTGCCCCTTCACTTTGATTAATCTCCCCGTGTTCCTGTTCCAACTCTATCAAAGTGATCTAAGTGAAGACACACAGCATTGATCTGTAAACACAGCATACTACTGTACCGAAAAACACACACACACACACACACACACACACACACACACACACACACACACACACACTGAGAGGGAACCACTGGAGGTGAGCTTCTCCTCAAGTTATGATTAAACCAAAAAAAAGTGCCATTTGAATGGATGGACCTCTTTAAAATATCACATATTCTTGATTATGGATATCATATGTGATAGTGCTCATGGAAAAGTTATGACAGTGTTTTCATACATAAAATACTCAGAAGCATCAGAAACAACCACTTTCAGTATAATAAAAGACAAATAACTGTTTTGTCTCTAAAAATATCAGATTCTTTTACCCCCTTTTCAGCTTGCTGACGATGCATTTTTCAGCTAATCCAATGGTGCTTTTAGTGGTTTAAGTTTCATCCTTTAGTTTATCTGACGAATTCAGAATGACTAAATTTGGAGAAATAATTCAGTTTCATAGAGAACAACAGAGAGCAGAAATACATTTGCAATATTTCTTTTTATTCTTGTTCAACGGACATAGATCCCCATTAGAAATAGTATTATTAATTCTACATGTAGTAGTTTAATTCAACCCATTTAACTTTATATATAACTTTTTGTGGTAATTACAAAGCAATAAACATAGCAATAAAACATAGGACAAAACAATACAATTATGCAAAACTACAAAAATGTGCACATAATAACATCTATAAGTGATACATGCTAAGTGCATAAAGGTTCCATACAAAGCCAAAACACTGCTGCTGTCATTACCTCTGATGTCTGTAAGGAAAATAATACATTGCAAAATGTATCCATTGAACTTTTTTCCATATTAAACTTTCCAAAGGGGTAAAAGAAGGTAAAAATCTAACATAAAAATTAGACTTACATGTTTTTCCACCTCATCTAAGCAGCATTAACTCTGAGGTTAGAGAAAGCACAGTGTCAGTATACGTACCTCAAACTGGCTGGGAAGGCAAATAAGAACTAGACATGTACACGTGCTGTTGAGCAAGGCACTTGACCTCCTGCTGTTCAGCATCATCGCTGTGGTTTTACAGAAGAACATGTGTCTCGCCATGCCTTCAGTCATCACTCCCTGCAGGAATGAAGATTATTTTCATCCCGATCTGTAAAGTTTGGCTTAAGGTGGCAGCTTGTGCTCATCTAGTCAAGGAATCCGCACACAAAATGTTGTGTTAATCCATTTCTGCACTGCCCAGCACCGACTGCACCGCATATGCAAAACAATCTGTTTTATGTGTAGCCGTGCCAACGTGTTTGGCAGACAGTGACTGAGCATTTTTTATTGTGTTATTTCTGATAACTCATGTGGATCCGCTGCTTTAAATCCTGTGGCGTGACATTTACAACAGCCCTCCTATTGTCAGTGATTTTACAGGGAGGACAGATGGTGCTCACATGCAGCTCGTGTTAAACCGGACAGGGCACCAGAGCTTTAAAAAGTGCAATGCTATTGGGTCCCTTGGGTCAAAGTGGTTTCAGATAGTTGTGTGTGTTGGCAGAAAAAACTGGCAGCGGACATTTGTAAAAGTGTGAAACATTGGGGGAAGGAGGCCAAAGATGTGCAGATATAGATACTAAAATGAACTTCTAACAAACTCTAACACAAGTGAAGTCAATGGCCTATAAATACTCCTATAGGCTATCAATTAAGCAGCCAGCATAATGTTGTTTAAGAATCTTTTTTTCTGTAAATATTTGAAGGTAAAATAGTGAAAATGACACATATTTAGTCATTTTTTTTAACCTGTAGACAAACAAGTTTTAAGTGGTTTTAGCATTTAAATTTCAATCGATGGCTGGTGTTAATTTACAACCTCAACAAAGGACATGAGGAATAGTTTTAGTGTGCCGGACCACTGCAGATTTTGCTTTCAGCTGCACCATGTGGCCAGCATGTTGTGGATTTCTATGATCATACTGAACCACACACGTATTCAATGAGCTGAGATTGTGATGCGATGTGGACTGACGTCTAAGAGATTTAAAAAAAAAAAAACTGTGTAATTGAAACAGGCAATGTAAGTCACTATATTCAATTGTTTTAAAATGTCCTGTCCTTGTTGGAATTTACACATTTTTATTTGCCTCATTTGTCATTTTAGGCAGATTATGCAACTTTGCGGTCTGTTGTCATGTGGCTCGTGTTATCCACTTCATGCTCTTCTTTTTATTTTTTTGTGTTGCCATTGTTGTTTTTTTCTTTGTTTTTTTTTGGTTTGAAGAGATGACTTATAAGCCCTGATGTTTTTTATTGTAATATGTTACTGCAGTTTTACCTTATATGTGTCGTCAAGGTATAAATGCACAATAAATTACACAAAACTACCTTGTTTGCTGTGTCTGTATCTCCAAGAAAAATCACTAAAACACTGTTATGATCATAATTTCAAACTCAATATAGTGACATTCAGGATGTGGTTGTGTATGAGGTGTAAAAAAGGAGTTGTTTGTGATGACTCAAGGGTTTGTTTTAGTCCATTTGCAGACATTTTACACAGAAATGAAAGATTTTGCAGCATTTGAATGCAACAGTTGTGCTGCTTTACCACGAAACTGGCTCAGTTTGTTTTGGAATATACATTTTAAATCTTTCCATATAGCCTAAAATACACTAAACTTCCTTTGTAGAGTTTGAAAATGAAGGCAAAACAAAGTTAACATCCACTAAGTGTTATTTTGGTGCATTTTATTTACATCTCTGACATGAAATCTAACAACAGCTTTAATAAATAAATAAATAAATAAGGTGGTTTGGTTATGAGCAATGATTGTCGGTCGATTTCTGGCCATATTCTCAAAATATTAATAATAATAATAATAATAATAATAATAATAATAAGTTGTATTGCCACAATCACGACACGTGTCTCTGACGTGTAACAACTTCCGCCGCCGACGTCACCGCCGCCAGCCCAAAAAAAAAACATGGCGGCGTCTTGTGCGCGAACCGTGGGATCGTTTTTGGGAAAATGTGGGAATTGCAGCTCGAGTTTAAACACGAGCACGTCGCAGGTGAGCCGACAGGTAACGTGAGAGTTCCTCTCGGACACACTAATACGTTTTGTACGTAAAACAAACGTAAACGCGCAGAAATGGACCGACACACACGTCCTTGAACTGGCGTCCTCTCGCAGCTTCCGTTAGCCGAAACCTGCCCGACAGATGTGTGAATTAAAAGTCCAACAACGCGGCGTTTACTCTTATCAAGCTCTGCTAGACTTTGTGATGTCTCGTTGTAATTGTTGAAGCCTTAACGTGAATTCGGCTCTAGTTTAAGGGTCAGCTGCCTCTCCAGATATTAAGCAAAGTAGCATAATCCTCCTCCTCCTCCTCCTCCTCCTCCTCCTGCAGGTCCTGAGCAGGCGGATATGCGTGAGCTCTGCCCTCCACAGAAAGAACCTGGCGGCTGAAGGGCCGCAGAAGTTCACGGCGGAGTTCATCCAGAAGCAGGTGGAGGAGTTCAACATCGGGAAGCGGCACCTGGCCAACATGATGGGAGAGGACCCCGAGAACTTCACCCAGGAGGACGTGGATGTAAGAGTGCACACACAAGTACTGTTGTCTCTGTGAGGGGCTTTCATGCATCCACTGGCTTGTGCAAAAACATGTTTTTTTTTTTCCTATCCCCAGAGCTTATAAGACCTGTTTGAAACCAACAGAGCAATGTCAGAAATCAAGTGAATTGAGCTGTGTGTGTGTGTGTGTGTGTGTGTGAGTGTGTGTGGCTCAGTTTCTGAACTGCAGATAAGGTTAGGATATGTTGGGGCTGACAGTGACCGTACAGTACACACTGGTGATTGATTTGTGAAGGATACTTTCGGGAACTTATTGATTTATATGAGGAAAAAAAGCATCAGAAAGAGTTATTATATCTTTTTTTTTTTTAACTAGACAGACGAGGCGGTGGGTTGTTAGGATGTATGTCGAGCAAACGGTGAACACATTGTGAGTTATTAACACTTTAATACAGAGTTTGTTCAGCATTCGTTGATTTTGAAGCATTTAAATTGGCTGAATGAACGAGCACTCTATAAAATCTCACTTTTAATGAGAAGGCTGGTGATATTTTATGTTTATTATCAACAACACCCATGAAAAGACCAAAACTGCTCACAGAAATGTGTCTCCATAAAGCCCCAGCAGCACTATTTCCTCCTGTTTGAGTAACGTTGGCTTGAAACTACAGTGAGCAGCTGTTCAAGGTAACTACTGAGCCTTTTTATAAATGGAAACTAGATATTTGTGGCCTGTTTTTAAAGATGTACGTCGACCGTAGGCGCCGGTACGCTGTTTCATATTCAGTATATTACGTTTTGGTGGACAATCAGACAGCCCACCCCCACCACATAAGACAGACCTTAAAAGCCACACTCTGTTAAAGCATTTTAATCACTGATTAAGTTCGCACTTTCAGGCTCTAAAGCTCTGCGGTCTCTTCACATCATCATCATCATCATTGGCGTCTGTGCTCCACCAGCAGCAGGCAGGTGGGGTCCACCTCTGGCTAATCCACTGCATCGGGGGGTATTAGCAACGCCCTCAAACACACACCCACGCGCTGGATTCCAGATTTTGGCAATACATTAGCCCCTCGCTGCTCCAATCACTTAGCTTGATTTCCCACTTTCCCCCTCGCCCCCGGTCCCCAGTGTCCCTCACAAATAATGAAGAGAGCTGTTGGCGCCAGGCTGTGAAAGCCAAAGCGACGGCGAGCAGCCCAAACTCAGATGTGTGGAGGGAACGAGGGCTGGAGGGGAGCAGAGAGGAGGCACCTGATGAATCCCTCCGCTCTGGGTTTGAGTCCAGACTGTTCAGGTGTGACGGTGATGAAGACCCAGGAAGGATGTCTGCAGTCAGGGGGAGAAACGAACACTGGCAACTCATAATGACCCATAAATATCTGTTAGGAGCGGACTGTTACATATTTTAAGAGTTTTAAACTAACTATTACCGAATATACCTTTCAAAATAAATGTTAAAATACACCTTTTGCTGATATCCGAGTTGCTGATTATTAGGGTTAGAGAAAAATACCAAATATTCTCTGGTTCCAGTTTCTCAAATGTGAGAATATTTTATATAAAGATTGGATTTTTCACTGTTTTTGGTTGGGCATTTTTGTAAAGTAAATGATTAATCCATGCATGGAATTCGTTGACAAGGACAGTAATTGTCTGTATGAACAAAGAAATGAGTGTGACTAAAGATTTTCATCACTCATTAGTCAGTTTATTATTATTTAGATTTATTAATCACGGTGACACAAACAGTTTTCCCTTAGCCCACAACCAGAAAGTATTTATTTTAGCACTAAAACTGTTTGATCTTAAGAAAATTAACCAATAATTGTAAGAATGTATTAATCATTGGAGTCATTTATCAAGACAAAATACTCAGCATTTGTTGGTTCTGGTTTTTTAGGATTTTCTGCGGTTGTTTGTTTTTATATCAGTATTATATATTTATATTCTCAAGCTGGAACATTTTCTGTTGATCAGCTAATTGATTAATCGACTAATTGTTGCAGCACTACTATAAATGCAGTCCTGAGTCGTTCCTGCGTGTAGGTGTTGTCAGACTGAGGTTGTCTGCTGGCCTGTTGAAGCTTTGTATCTCTCTTCATGAGACGCAGGAGCCAGCGGCCTTTGTGCCAAGTTTCAGAAACCCAGCAGAGACAATGAGACAGTTTTGATCTTGTCACCGGTAAAGTTTATCCTGACTGTCTCCATGATGTCGTTGAGATGAGTAAAATCTGACGCGCTCCTGCGTGGCGTTGATCAGCTCTACAGCTGACTATTAGACTCATTCTTCCTCCGTCTTTGTCCCCCGGGGGTCTCTGCCATGTTGTGCTGAGGCTCGGGGGACACACAGGTGTGTCTTCATCTGTTCCCTGCCTGTCTCTCCCTTCCCTCTTCTTTTCTTTGTACCCTTTAACTTCTCCCTCTTCCTGTCTCTCACACTTTTACACACACACACACACACACACTTCTCTCGACCAGCCCTTTTCTTGGTGCTTTCCGTGGTTTTGACAACCTTAAAGGCAGCAACCTGCTCTCCCCCCTGCAGCACCTGCTGCCTCACTAATTGAACCGACGGAGAGGAGGAACAAACGAAAGAGGAAGAGGAGAGGTGGTGGGTTGGAGGAAGAGAGAGATGAACAGACTGTCTTGATGAGTGTGGCGGGGGCCGACACACTTCCTGTCTCCCTCTCTTCTATCACACACACATTTACAGTGCCATCTGTAGCCGCGCTAACAACACACACACACACACACACACACACACACACACACAGAGTGGAGGGTGAACTCGCAGTGAACTGTTGGACGTCCACGGTGTCCTCTGCTCGCTGTCAGCCGAGCCAAAAACTTGTGCCTTTTTCTGCTTGTTTTCTCCTCTAACTCCACAGCGACACACACACACACACACACACACACACACACACACACACACACTCACACTCGCCTTTCCTTGAACCCGCTAGCAGCTTGTGCCTCTTCCTCTGTCACTTTCACTGTCGTCCGTGGGTGTGACCTCTGTTGTTCGGACATGTCAGCGTTGTCATAATCTGCCATCTCTCAAACTGCCATTTCTTCTCCTGTTTATTTATTATATATATATTTATATTTTTTCTTCTCTCACCAACAGAGGAGCATAGCCTACCTCTTCCCCTCCGGCCTGTTTGAAAAGCAAGCCCGGCCCGTCATGAAGGTACGTCTGTGCGGTTTAGACTCACATAAACTTGACTTGATTAAAGTTTAAAGGCTGTAAATGATTCGTTTTTTTATGATCTAGATTCTTATCAAACCGATGTTATTGGTTGCTGCGACTTTATTTGTTAAACACAGTGTTACATTTTTGTTCATTTTAATGACGGCTTGCTCAGAATCATCCATTTGGACAGCTGAAATTTGTAATTCAAAGAGGAGGCAGGTTTATTCCGATTAGATTATTTATTGTTGACATACATACATAAATACATGAATGCTGGGTATTAAACAGATCACAAACTGCATAAATATCAGGAATATCTGAGCCAGTATTTGCTGCTGGTGTGAGTAACTTCCAGCCAGTGCATTAGCTGGAACCAGCTGACCTGAAATGACCCTCTCTGGATGAGTCAGTCTGCACTCATTTACTGCTCATTGGGGCGTGATGGCTTTAATTTTCATGCTGGCAGTGTAATAAAAATGTGAATTCCTCCATCATTCCTGTTTTATTTGACTTTTGTTTTCATTTCCAGCATCCAGACGACATATTTCCAAAGCAGAGCGGTATGTTTTTTTTTCTTATTACTTTATTGTGAATGTTAGTTAGTGTTCGTGTTAGTTTTGTGTAAACTGCTTCACAACCTGCTTCTCCGTCTCGTCTTTTCAAGCTGTCCAGTGGGGAGAGGACGGGCGGCCCTTCCACTTCCTGTTTTACACCGGCAAACCGTCCTACTACTCCGTGATGCATGTGAGTACTGCAGGCAGCTGTCAGGTTTTTATGTGAGGTGGAGGTAAATCTTCCTCCAGCTCAAATCCCAAGTTCTTCCTCGCCTCCCCCTCCCCCTCCCCGCCCCCCCGGGTTATATCTCATTCAGACAGAGTGAGTCGAGGAGAGGCCGCGCGGTCCTCAAGGAGACGCAACGTCAGATCCTCTTTTCCGCAGCGAGCTGCAGATGAATAGAGCTGGGGTGAAAGAGAGGTGGGAGATTAGAGGGAGGCGAGCAGGATGGAGGGGCCATAGGTAGTCCGGTGTAAAGGGTGATCCACTGGGGAATAACTATATCCACCTGTGATCCGGAGGTAGTGAACAATCAGCTGGACTGGTTTATTTTGAAGCTTCCTCCTCACCTCATCAACCGAACCACAAAGTAACGGCTCTTCTTCACTGTCTGAACTTTTGGGCGTCTGCAGTGAGAATTTCCTGCTGCTAACGTGATCGAATTAAACATCTATTAGCAGGCGTCGTTTGTCGGAAAATAGTTAATGTAGTTTGAGTTGGGTGAGATTCCATAAACAGATGAAATTACATCAGTGGTGGAGACTGCCAAACTATTATGTTAATCTATTATAATGTTATTATATCGTGTACATTTGCTTGTTTGCTGTATGTTTGCGATAATAATAATAATTGTGTAATACTGTTTACATTATGCCGTGTAAATCTCATACCGTTCCAACCCTAATCTGGACTATTACCCAACCAATACTGTATTTTTAGAGGCTGATACAGATTAGTATTAACCCAATAACAATACATCAACCAATAGTACGAACGCAAGACATAAACAAACAATTTCGACACGGTGAAAGGACAAAGGTACAAAGGTCATCAAGGTACAAACTTACAGTCAGCGTCTGCATGATTTCCTTTTTATTGGATCTTCAAAACTTTCCTTTGTGGATTAGAAAACCATCAAATGAAATAGAACAGAAACTATTTGACTGTGATACGTTGAACACAATGAGGCAGGGATTTTAATACTTGGAGAGAACGACAGAACAGATATGATGAGAGATTAATGGAAAGAAGGGTAAAAGAGAGAACATGGGGGCAGCTGGGTTATTTGTAAGCTGTTGTCTTGAAGATTATAAATGATTTTTACATTTAAAAAATGTCCTTTTAAAACACTAAAAACACCAGAGTGGACCTCTTACTGTGATGAGGGACATTAAAGGATGTTTAATTTTGCTATTTGAGCGTTTAAATGATAAACTAGGACGAGGACAACGAGAAAACAAATGAATTGAAGGTATTTTCCCAAGCCCACTGAGATCTCTTATACAAACAGTTAAACAGACATGCGTTCTGGTGTCGGGCGAGATAAATAAAGTACATCTGTCTGAGTGTCCGGGTTCAAAATCGTGTTTGAGGTGTGGCGCATCTGGCTTGTCAGGCTTTGTCCCGCCACGGGGAGCGACTCCTCCACTGGGATTTGGATTGAAGCGGGGTGGGGCAAGAGCGGGTTCTTTGGAGGGGGAGGAGGAGGAGGAGGAGGAGGAGGATGGGTGGGTGTGGGGGCTGCTGCGCCATTCACACTGCTCCTCACCTCTGAGCTCCTCTTTCTTCCTCCATCTTTTGTTGCTTTCACACGCTCAACGGTTCCCTTCCTGTCTGCTGCCGACCTTGCTCAAAGACATTTCTCATACAAGAGGCGTGTGTCTGTATCTAAAACACAGAGAGAGGGGTGATGTCTGAATATTGGTCACACACACACACACACACACACACACACCATTGTGCCCTGCAGCCGCAATCTGCACCCCCTGCTGTTAGTTTAAATAGGTATGTCAGACACGTCTGAGAGCTCGTGCTGCCTGTCTGCGTGACTGCAACCCTTCTATTTTTCCTCTTCTTCCACCTTTCCTTCTTCCTGTTTTTCCTTCCCCTGTCTTGTGTCCATTCCAGGATGTTTTTATTTTTTTAAATCCATCTCTCACACACACACACACACACACACACACACACACACACACACACACACACACACACACACACACACACCCCTCAGGAGTGTTGCCAGGAGGGGGCAGTGGCGTGTAAAGCAGCCTTCCTGCTCGGCTGCTCTCCTCTGGCTGTCGTTGGGCTACATTAACCTGCTCACTGCTCCGTTGAGCCCTTTATGGCCACAACTCTGGGGAACCTAAACCCACTCCCCCCCAACCCCCTACCCAAACACACCATCTCCCTTCACTTTAACGCCGTCTGAACCCCACGAGAGGGTCTCTTTCATTGTTGGCTTTTGGTGAAAGTGTTTAAATGCTCCACTATATTCCGCTCATAGCTGAAGCCTTGAACTCGAAGCTCTTGCCGTGCATATAAAGACCACTTATTGAATAGAAAGAGTGGAGGTCTAGCTGTCTGTCTCTGTAACAACCTCGACTTAAACGTATGCAGATACTGGCCCTCTTCCTCTTTCATCCGGCCAATCCATGCGAGTTATTCCTCGCCATTGTAGCGCCCAGTGTTTGCAAACGTGTAACGCAAGCCCCTTATCCAAGCCCCCCTCCTCTCCTCCTGCCTTCTTATTTTTTTAAGATTTTCTATTATGCTTTTTTTTTTTTTTTTTTTTTTGCAAAGAAAATTGGTTTTTGCTTGATGTTTGCTTTTTTTTTATACACCCTCCCTTCCCGCTCCTCCTGTACCCCTCTGTCGCTGGTCGGAGTGGCAGCGGATTAGGCACACTCTATCAAGAAGGAATTAAACAAACATCTGGTGAATAATTGACGGGGAAATGAGTTCTCACCCAGGCGCTGGGCGGCTGAGGTGGGGGCGTCTGCCTCGGGGACGTGACCAGCATGCCCACCCTCTTCCCCCCCGTCTTCCTTCCATCACCGTGGCACACTCCCCCTCGGGTTATTCCCAATGCGAGAGTGATCTAATGACGAGTGAGCCCCGAAACTGTCCTGTCATTTATTTCGCTGAATGTTGTTGCTCCGGCAGATTTCCTTCCAGCTTTGCTTCAGGCCAAATACACGCACAGGTTCCCGCGTCAGTTCAGTCCAGAACTGAATGAAGTTTTTATTATTGTGTCGTCGGCATACAAGATACCATAAATTCATATAAACAGATCCAGAGGGCTCAGTGTTTGTTTCCTAGACAATACGACTAAAGAAGTATTTGAACCTTCAGTGTTTCCAACTAAATTCAATAATCACGACTCTCTAACCAATAACAATTAACTATTATACAGTATAATTAATATATCAATTAAATAATCCATCTCGCTGCCTTTTCATGCTTTTGAGGCAAAGTTTGCAAACTTAAACGCATCAAAATGAACCAAGCATTCCAATTTCTACTCATCTATTCACCAGACTATTTCAGGATTTTAATGGAAAATGAACTCTTTTAAATCATTTGAACAGTACCAAAGGCATTGGATATTTACCAATGAATGTGAGAATAAAGTAACTTGCTCACTGTAGCATTCTTCTTCTGCTCTTGGCTTTTATGGTGAATTAAAATCTGTGATAATTCAGATTAATTAATACATTTTACTTCCATCAGACGCAGAGGCTAGAGCTGCAACTAATGATTATTTTTTGTCTTTGATTAACTGTTCAGTCTATAAAATGAAAACGCCCATCACAAGTTTAACGAAGTCCAAGAAAGGATATCCAATTAACAAAGACATACAAAAAAGTTGACCTGCATCAGGAGTTGAGGATGGATCATCACCCAAAGGTGATGGATGCCAGTGCATGCCGGTCTTCCAGACCAAAACTGGGAAAACACAAACTGTTGCCACAAAGTTGGAAGCACATTGACCACTTTCCTGCTTTTATCACAACATATATATACTGAAAACAAAGTATTGGTTTGATCCTTACATCCTAGACCCACACTCTAGTTCTAACTGACCACCGGCCTGTCGCTCGCTCTGCATGGTGTGCACCCTGAATTCAATATTTCCTTTTTGTGATGTGTTGCATGTCAGAACTTGTCCATGTTTTTGGTGCATTTTAGGAAATAAACAGCAGAATCCTGAAGTTGGAGAAGTTCCAAGATAATCTGAGAATCAACCAACTCTTCGTAAAGGAGGGCAAGCAGATGTAAGTAGAGAAACATGGTTTTTACACTTCAGATATGCGTGAACGCTGTCCCTTAGAAGTGATAAAGCTCTTGTGCACCACACTCAACTAATTATGATGAAAGATCACGTACTCGGAGCTGTGTTTACATTTGATCGTCACATGATGGAGTGTTTCTTGTAGTAGTTGTCCAAAGGCTTTGAAACCGCTACAGATAGAGGCTGTTTGACACCCCAGAAAATGACCACAAGCACTGACTGCACAGGTCAGTCCTCTTCAGTACTTACACCTTTGATTTTGGACTCCCGTCTGTCTCCGTCAGCTCTCTCAGCTCAAGCAGGTGGCGCACAAAGGACGAACTGCAATCAATGCTGGTCGAGACCGTCTCCGATCATGACGTAAGAACTCTTCTCCTCGTCTGTCACATGTTTTTGAAATAATGAAAGCTGGAGAACGAGTCCAAGATTCAGACCTTCAAATCCCTGATAAATGCTACTTAAAATAAGTTTCTCTGACATAATTAAACCTACTGTGGATGTTCTCGGGAGCGTGATACGCGACTTACACGACCTTAATGTGTTTCATTCAGTACAAACGCTTCATCCAGCTAATGGAGCGCCTGGTGTCCATGCCCTACTCCGGCGTAGAGGAGGAGTTTATCCTGCCTTACCGCCAGCAACTGGGGGCCCAGTCCACGAAGGAAATGGTGCCGCCGCTGGAGAAGGACGACAGGGGCGTGGCCTTCAGCACCGCAGAAGGTAGAAATGTTTCTTCACAAAATCGGAGGTTTTTAACGCTACATTAGGTTTGACAAACGTCTCCATGAATGTCACATTAAACACATTCACGTTCCCCCCTTCTGTTGAATATAATGTGGGATGAGAAAATGGAGATACAGGTGGGTTTTTTTTTTTCTTCCCCTCTCAGGTCGGAGGAAGTCGTCCACCTCTTCTGTTGTTCTCCGAGACTGCGGCTCCGGACGCATCACCATCAACGGCATGGGATACCTGGACTTCTTCCCCGCACTACAAGACAGGTAGGAGAGCTGTGCCAGCGTCGGACAAATAAACCTTTTTCTCTGCAGCTTTCATTCATAGATACCGCTTTCCTTTAAAATGCAAGACGTAATGTGTTTGACTCCCTCGCTCCAAAAAAAAAAAAAAAATTAAAAAAGCAGCTTTTTCACTCTTCACAGCATCGCCTCGTTTTTTATTTATCTCCTTGTAGTAAGTTAATTACACAGTTGAGTGATTGTGTGTGTGTGTGTGTGTGTGTGTGTGTGTGTGTGTGTGTGTGTGTGTGTGTGTGTGTGTGTGTGTGTGAGTGAGAATGTCCAGAGCTGGTGTTGTCACGCAGTGTGAGGACGGGCTGTAATTGGAGCAGAGAGGTGACAATTGACTTTGTCAGCAGCCATAGGCCATTCAGCCAGAGACGCCATCCAGAACACTTTCTTTCCTCTCTCTCTCTCTCACACACACACTCACACACAACCTTATCCTATTCCTGCTGAGTCAGAAGTTACTCTGTAATATGCGGTGGAGAGATTGTAGAAGAAAGCTTTTCACAGTGCCGGGATCCTCTGTGCTTGTCTGAAAAGTCACCCAACCAGACATTAAATTAGCTAAGCCTCTGCCGTTGATACCGCTATCTGTTAAATAGCACACGCTCCCGCTCTGCCCATTCAACCACGTTTCATTCTTTCACCTCTTCTTCTTTTTTTATGTCACTCCTCACCTCTCGGCTCTCAGAGAGCAGCTGATGTTCCCGCTGCAGTTCATGGGCGAGCTGGGACGCTTCGACCTGGAGTGCACCGTGAGCGGCGGCGGGCGGGCCGGCCAGGCGGGGGCGCTGCGACTCGCCATCTCTCGGGCCCTGCTCAGCTTCCTGTCCGAGGGGGAGGGGGAGACCATGAGACAAGGTGGGGTTGTCGGCCTGTTTTAGCCTCAGGAAGGCCTTTTGTGTTTCTTTTAATGTTACATCACTACTTTCTGTCTTCTATTTACATTATTTATTTGTCCTTTTTGCGTTTTATGATCCCATGTCTGGTTTTTACGTGTTAACTGTAATACGTCTTCCTTGACTTTGAAAGCACTTTGCTACACAAATAAAGTTTATTATTATTACTGATTATTTCTGGCCGTCCAAGCAGTCATTAGGTTCTGATAGTGGTGTAAAATTCAACTTAAAACGTACTTATAAACGGGCAATCCACCTTAATGGACATTTAGTTCTCTTTGTGAAGGTTTTGGGGTGAAACTTTGATGCAGGGACTGTTTTACTTATTTTTGGAGAAGTGTGAGATGTGAAAAAATGCTTTTCAATTTGACAAGAACTGCTACCATCACATTGTTTTAATAGATCCACGTTACAGTTGATACAGCGCAGTAGTCAAATCTCAGATGTTGGTGCCTGAATGCACGAAAAGGTTTTCAAACTAGATCCTGGACTAAGATGAAGAACAAAAACTAAATGAGCAAGTTGATGTGCAAAAGAACGTGCACATTTAAATGACATTTAAAACACAGGTTGTTTTTTATGCGTTTTGTTAAGCTTTATAGTTGTGGTCAATCAATTTACTTTAACAATAAGGATGACTACAAATGCAAAATACTGGTGATCTATTGCAGAATTGAGGTTGAACACACTGTAAAGGGCGACGATGGGGAGATTTGTAGAGTTTAGTTTTAGGTGAGGCTTCATGTCATAAAGACGTGCATAAAGAAATGCAGATGTCCTCAAAAGGCCTGACGCACAAATAACAGTGAGACGCATTAAAACAAAAAATATATATATAGAAAAATATCCAAAATGCACTTTGTCTCATGATTTCCATCCACTTTCATTTGTCTCTCTTTTCCGTCCTTTTAACCTCCAGCCGGTCTGCTGACCCCTGACCCGAGAGTGAGGGAGAGGAAGAAGCCGGGCCAGGAGGGAGCACGAAAGAAATTCACCTGGAAGAAACGCTGAGGAACTCAAACATAAAACATTCAGACTAAAAACATTGTGTTTCCCAGAGTCGCTTGTGTCCTCCTCGGTTCGTCCCTCGCAGGCCGCCATTGTTTCTAAAAGCAGTTCAGACTCAACAAGCTGCAGTGAGCCTCTTCAGCCAGCAGATGGAAGTGTGTGTCCAGGAATAAATGAGAAGGTTGAATATATTTATCAGTATATTAAACAATAAATCTGATTATTTTGACAGAACAGTAGATGTTTTCTTTGTATTCTTTTATTATTTTGCCCTTCATCACAAGGAAGTTTAACCATTTTACATATTTTTCTTGACATTTTTTAATGTCAACATTTCACTTTAACCTTTTAAATTTTAAAATGACTAAATTTTAATTAATCAACAACACTACAGACTTAATTAATCAACTGATTGACAGTACTAAACTTTTTCCAAACCTCGAATCCAAATGTTCCTCTTTCTGTCACAGCCAGCTTCGGCCACAAGATGTCGCCAAATGCTTATAAATGTTGAGCAGGTGTGCCTCTGCTTATTTTACTGCACCTTTTTTATCAGCTCAGAACAATCAGGTCATCGATTGAATGGATATTGATTAATAATTAAATAATATCTGGTGCAGTAGATCAGCTGCAAACAGAAAACACCTAAAAAAAAACAACTATTTTTTAGAGAATGAAACGGTGATCAAATAAAGGTGTATAAGAGCTCCTGTTTGGATATTTGGCCGCAGTTTGGCCTCACAGGTGCACTAATCACCTGGAATCAGGGTCGTGGGTGAGGGAGGAGGAGACCGGGGTGTGTGGGTGTGTGTGGTGGAGGGGTGGAGTCATACAGTCTCCCATTGGGTGACCGTCCAGACAGGCGTACTAGACTGGATTACTACCACCAGACTACAGAAAGCAGCCAGAGGGAGACGGGTGAGCCGTCAGCAGCTACCTGTCCTCCATTTCTGCTCCACGTTGGAGGTTGGAGGGAAGCGCATTATAGTGTGTGTGTGTGTGAGAGAGAGAGAGAGAGAGAGTGAGTGTGTGTGTGTTGTGCTCCAATGGAGGCAGCGGTACTGAACCCCGCGATGATGACGGAGGTGGACTGCAACAGCAACACCCTGAACGCCGAGCTGGAGGTGAAGAAGCTGCAGGAGCTGGTTCGGAAGCTGGAGCGGCAGAACGAGCAGCTGCGGACCCGGGCCAGCGGCTGCTCGGGCGGCCCGCATGCGCTGCCCCAGTCCCCGGCGTACGTGCTCGGCGGCGCCGGGGGATACTGCCTCCCCAGCCCGCTGCCCACCTTGCTCTGTCAGTCGTCCTTGGGGTCCTTCGCGCCCCCGGAGGAGCCTTTCGACTATTTCCTCCCGCACACGGGCGGGGAAGGAGCGGCAGCCGGTGAGGAGGAGGAGGAGGAGGAGGAGGAGGATGAGGAGGAGGATGGATCCGAGCCGTCGGTTCTGGATGAGCTGGAACTTTTGGACTTGAATTCTCTGTCCTGCTCGGATGAGTCTGATGAAACATGGTAACTGAATTAATATTCAACCATTTGTTGATCGATGAAGTCCATGACTCCTGCTGCATGTGTGGTTCAGATGCCCCTGTTATTATCCTCATTGTTTGTGTGTGTGTGTGTAACCAGCCTGTCCTGCAATGCCCCAGACAAAGCACACACACACACACACACACACACACACACACACACACACACACACACACACACACACACACACTCTTTGGGAGTAAATTAGGCAGCTGAGAGGAGAGGGCCACTTGTTATCAGGCCTGTCATCAGGGCTGCACCAAGCTGCCATTCTTCCCTCTGTGCTGTGCAGGACCACACATCCATAGTCAAAATGCCATTTTGTTGGCTAGGAAACCAACCCCTTAACCTCGCAGTGTGCAAGATGGGCTTCAAATAAAGCATCATTTCCTTGAGATAGACAAAAACCACTCCATCTGAATCTCTGCACCCGATTTACTGTCATCCTCCAGGGGGAAAAGGACGTGTGAGGTGGTTGCAAAGAGACCGGTTGTAAATCAGGAAGTCCAGTTTTGCTGATTTTGTTGCAGCTCGCTGGGTGAGCTGACCATCTTGTGCAGAACAAACAATCAACAGGAAGCCACTGGGCTGTTGGGTAATAGGGCTGCTATAATGCTCGTTCTCATTAGTTACTGCTTGATTTTGCTGCTTTTTTCAGTTAATCAATAAATTGGCTATTAGAAGAGGACTCAGCTGGCTTATTTCTTTTCAGTAAAAGCCCTTTTAACTCATTATTATTATGACTCAATGACCAGGAATTAATTATCGGAATAGGATCTTATGAATCTTGTAATATCCTGTCGGTAATAACTGTAAACACTGCTGTAAAAACACAACAACAGGGAATGTTTATGGGCTGAAATCTGCACTCCAGTTGCCAGTTTATTACTCCAAACTAAATATAAAAGAGGTCTAAAGCAGCAGTCCTGCCATAAACAACATTTAAGGTGCTTAATATGTTCAGTTTTTGTTGGAACTTGTTGTCGAGAGGTTGTTCATTCAACTTTATGGACATTTGTTTGGAGGCTGTTTCTAATATTCTGCAGCATTCATGTAGCTTCACACAGGAGATCAAACTGATCTTTGAAGAGTAGCCCATTCTCCACTGCAGCACATCCAGATTCATCTTTTATTTGGTGTGTTCATATCGCAGCCGTGTCCCCTCCTGCTGTCTAAGAATAGCAGCCGAGGTGCGTTCGTGTGTCCCCCTCCAGATCAGACTCTCACCTGATGTGGGCGAAGGTTTTAATCTATAATTCAGCTGTTCGTCTCCAGAGAGGAGGGGGGAACCGCGGAGGAGTTCAGGGCCTGTCAGAATAATCTGATCAACTCCTTTCTGAACTGAGCAGCTCCTCTTCCTCACATCTGGGAAGCTTAGTATCACCTTAAGCTGGAAGGTGGTGGTAGCTGGGGGGGGGTTCTGACTCAGGAGGGGATGAGTTGGTGGCACAGAAAGAAAAGAGTCTGGGTCGTGATATGTCAGAGACCGCCTGGAGAAATAGCCCCAGCAGGGACATTTTTATACTACTTTGACTTTGTTCCATTTTCAATTAGTCATCTGTGGTTCGCGTTGGACAAAAAGTGAGAGAATGATGTTTTAAGGTTCAGGAGGTTTGAATATTTGGTATTGGGTACGAGGAACACGCCACCATGCAGCAGGAGTTCTACCTAAAGTGGAAAGATATTAAAAGGTTTTGTTGCCATCAAGTCTCTGTTGTTTTATAACAGTTCTGTTTCTAGCCAATTATCCAACGCCATATCAAATAAAGTTGCATTATGAAGTATAAAAATAAATGGGCTTGCAGAACATTGGATAAGAATAATTGAAATATTACAATCTGGACAGCAACACATTTTCTACACTATTGGATGGACTGCCATGAGGTTTGGTTCCAACATACATGACTAAGACTAATACTAATATCTTGGCTGACAGAAAATATCATTGGCGATTATTATTTTGAGGATTGATTCATTGTTTTTTAGCCAGTTTTTTGTAGTAATTTGTTGCTTTTCTATGATTTGTATCATTGTAAACCAAATCTCTTTGGATTTTCTCCTGTCGGTGATCAAAGGTGATCTTTGAGGATGTCACTTGTGTTTTTTTTTAAACCAAAAAAATGAATTGATTAATTAATTAGCTGCTAACACGCTCGATTAAGATGGCGAGCATGGTAAAGACAATGTGAAAAATCCATGGTAGCATGTGCCTTGTCCTGTGGTAACACAACTCAATCTCAATCTGTGTCTCTTTCCAGGTTGTATGCGCCATCAAAAGCTAAAGAGTCCACAGATCACTCCCTCACACCTCTGCAGTGGTGCCGGCAGGGCCTGGAGAGCCCCAGGACCGAGGTGGAGGCCGCCAGGCGGTCGCTGTCGCTGCGACTGGAACAAGGTATGAGATTGTGTGTGTGTGTGTGTGTGTGTGTGTGTGTGTGTGTGTGTGTGTGTGTGTGTGTGTGTTAAAGAAAAGACCTTGATTGGCTCCTGGGGGAGGAGGGGTTGTGTTGTTCAGCAAAAGAGTCGACTGTGCGCAACAAGAGATAAACCAGAGTACTCTCTCGGTTGTCGTAGGGTGCTAATTAAAAGTTAAATTAAAAGCTACGTGTCAGTCAGTGTGTCACACCTTGGGTTTGTTGGCAGACAGAAACGGTGCTGTTAGAACAGCCAGAGACACAAAATTCAAAGTTCAGTATTTGAATGCATTTTCATGTTTTTATGAATGAAAGATCTGTGCAAAATGTTCTATATCGTATCTTAGATTAGCAGTCAACCCATTTCTGAGCCGTGTCTCTCTTTAGGAGCTGATAATGTAAGATTTCAAGGGTCGTACTCGTGTCGGGGTCCCGGGGAGTCCCAGTACAACCAGTGTGACACAGGCAGTGAGCAGCCCCACCAGGGCAACTGGAGGCACTGGGTGGGCTTCAGACTCAGCACATGTTGATATCGCCATTGACTGAACGATGCTGGAAACGTCTCTGTGGAGTTGAGATGTGCATTAGAGGAGGGTTTTATGTTTTAGCCTTACGGACTCTGACCAGCTGATCTCTTTTCCTCTTCGTCTGAACCCTTCTAGGCCTTACCGACGTCACATTTCTGTCTTTTACCCACAGTTCTTTGTGTCTTCGCTGCCACACTACAGACTCAAACCAACGGCTGAGACAGCAGATTAGTTCGCAGGGCGCCGTTCTCCCACAGGCTATTTTAAACTGATGTTCAGGTGTCTTGCCAGAAAACACAGGAGCTCACTGACTCACACAACACAAATCTCGGCCAAGAGGAAGTGCTAAACTGTTCCTCGTCTAGACTCTACGGCCAGACGCTCGCGCTGTTTTTGTGATGGAAGCAGTTTGGCACCCAAACCGATGTCAGTCACAGAGAGATCGCTGGCTGGGTAAATCTGTTCGGGTCTGATCAGGTTTCAGCAGCTACGTAGCTCTTACCACGACGGCTAATCCTAACTAACCAAATCAAATCAAATACAGTCAATGATACAATACAATGCAACTGACCGTGTGTGCTATGCTGGAAGCGGCTAATGTTCTTCAGCTACAGTTCTGAATGTGTTTTTTATTTTATACTTCTTCACACTTCACTGACACTGCTGACGGTCGTTTGTATTAATAATTAGTCTGCAGATGACGTTTTGCTGGTGGTTTGTTTATGTCGGTCATACAGAGGCGTCAGTATCAAATTAAGACTGTTTCAT